AGAATGTTTTTTATTTCGTAAACTTTCTTCACATCTTCGGATGAATCAAAGGTCACAAGAAACATGTCAAGTGGTTCCTTGGTCTTCCATTTAAGTTTGTTGATTGCACTAATTGCTTTTAGACCTTGGTTGTTCAGATCGCTTACAATTGTTCCTTGGTCACACGAGTGGTGTAGATTTTTTACTATAACTTTTATTGGCCTAGTTTGTTTGTCTTCGTAGCTAAACCAGGGGATCTTTTCGTTTGTTAGCAGCTTTGTAACAGAGCGGTAGTCAAGAGAGTCAAAGGTAGTTACTCTATATGAGCCATTATTTATAAGTTTCACAAAAAACTTGTTCTTTATAGTTGCGATTAGTTGAGCATGCAATTTTTTGAAGTCGTTCGTACCATTAATAACAATTGGAGGAGGCCGAGCTGACTTACTAACCGTAGCTTTCTTTTTTAGACTAGGATCTGAGGATCCGCTTTGATTGGCCACTTCAGGTGAGGAATCGGCCTTTCGTTTTTTCGCTGGTCTTTTCTTTTTGAGGATCCAGTCGGTCTCCCTGGCAAGTTCTTCCTCGTCGGTTTCATATATTTTTGTTCTGTTTTGTTTCGTTTCTTTGTTTTCTGCAATGTTTTGGGTGGTTTTTAGTTTTTCGTTTTCACTTCTAAGTGACGCTATTTCGTTTGCTAATAACGAATACATGTTTTCTAAGTTTTTTTTTTTATTTTTATTTTATTTAGCAAGTTTGAAATACATTCTCATTTTCGTTGTTGGTGTTTCCGACAGGGTAGGAGTGTGATGTAATGTGGAACGATTTTCCGTCATCCCTTGTCAAATTTGGCACAACGCCGAAACCGGTTTGTCTCCAAACCAAATTTAAAATACATAGCTGCGACTTATCGTTGATTTTTAATATAAATATTTTTTTTTTGATGAAGGCGTTGCTCATTTTCTTCATTAAAAAAATCGTCGAACATACTTAGATAATATGGAAGAAAATTACCGACATCGTCAAAAATATGCCATACATCAACTGTAAATCACAGATACTTTAAATTTGCACTTTATTAGACTAAAATTGAATGAGCTAAAAACTGAAAATATTAAGAGATAAAATTGAAATAGAAAGCTCGAAATTTTAACGAAAGTTTGTAGATTTTTTTTTAATGTTGTTCGAAGATTAGACTTATTTGCATTTAGTGTTTGTTAAGGAATAAACTATATTTTTATAAACAAATAATTCAAATTAAAATATAATAAAATAAATAGTCAAATCTAGTCAATATGTGAGTGTCGTAAAGTTATGATATTTAAGAACATCTCTTTCTTAATTAACGATGACACGGTTTCTATATGAAGCTGATTTCGACATTTTGTTTTAATAAAATTTAGTATCGAAAATGTTTTTTCAAAACTTGCCTAGGAATGTGATATAATGATTCGTTCAAAACCTTTTTCCAAAACTTCTTAAGGCAAAAACGAGAAGGCGAAGACAAAAAGAGAACAAAAAAATTTCCCGCAGTAAACTTTCAGATTTTTAAAACGGTATAGTAATTTAATTTTTTAAATTTAAATAAAGCATGAAGACCCCATGGAATAAACTAGAAGATAAAAAATATATACCGGTAAAACTGGCACATACATAAATATATGAAAGAATGCACTCAGGCGACGCCTCTAGCCATTGTGTGTCACAGGTTTAAGTTATCGATAGAAATTTTTTTTCATCCCCCCACAAAGCCAAATCCTGGCTACGCCACTAGTTTGTTGTAATTCATTCTGTCATTTACTACCATTATGCGTAGGCCAATTCATGAAATCATTTCATACGTTTGAGTAGAAACTGAATGAATGAACACCATTTCATGATTACAAATTCGTTTAAAATAAAAATAAGCGAAATCGGCCCAATTTCATACAACCCTGCCTGAGATGAAAATTTTTTCCACGATAAGGCTAGATTTTGGGTCGCTTAGTAAAAATGGAAACATATATACAAGAAAACAAGGCAAATAGCAAAATCGGCTAAAAACGGCTAATTTTTTTCTGCAAAACGGCTAACAAATCGGCTGCCGGCTAAATCGAAATTTCTCCGGCTGTTTGCTATCGCAACCGGCTAAATCTAGCCGGAAAACGACTAAAATGGCAACACTGACGAGAACGCAAAATTTGCAAAAACTTGCAACATTCAAAACAGCTGATTAATGCACAGTTGCCACTGGTGATTAATTTGGCAATTTATTTTCNACGAGAACGCAAAATTTGCAAAAACTTGCAACATTCAAAACAGCTGATTAATGCACAGTTGCCACTGGTGATTAATTTGGCAATTTATTTTCTGCTTGGTACATTTTCCCCAGATTTGGCATTTTATACAATTTAATAGTTTTGGATAAGAAAAACCTTTTTAAAATACAAATTAATTACATCGGAATGAATAACTTATTTTTCTCATAATTATTTGTGATATCACATGATGACCAGTGTTGCCGCGCCGTCTCAAGAAAATGTATCCCTGACCAAGCCAAAAATGTATCCAAATGTATCCAATTTTCTTTTTTTACATATACATCTCATAACTTGTAAGAAAACCAAACTTTTTCATGAAAAAGACATAATTTAACCCATGCTAAGGACTTGGAATACATGTGCATAAAATCAAACATTTGTAATTTCAATTTATAAAGTACATTTTTTGTGCATAAGTACTTTGCAAAGTAAATATAATAAATAGCAAGTACACTCTAAAAAGAGCATGTAAAACTACTACTGAAAAGTATCTATTTTTCAACAAGAATCTGTATAAATATACGTATAGGATGTTCAGTATTTGATTTTGA